GTGGGTTTTGGGCCAAATTGGAGGGGTGTTGGGCTGCAACACACACGAGTCCTTTTCGGTCCCTCGGTTAACCGTTGGAGTATCAAACGAAGTCCAAAAGATACGAAACTTGACAGGTGGTCTATCGGTAGTAAACCAAGGCCGCTTGGCAAGTCTCGGTCCAATCCAGAAATGTTTAATCCCCACACACGAAAGAAAGGTAGAAATGACCACCCGAGAAGAACGAAGCGCCGGAATGCAAAACGGACAACGGGGAAAATGCTCGAATGCATGAGATGAACACGTATGCAAATGCAATGCACATGATGACATGATAAGAGATGCATGACAACGACAACAACACACGGAGACAAAAAAACCTGAACCCGAGGAAATAAATTAACTTAACACCGGAAACGGCAAGAGTTGGAGTACAAATTGGGAAAATTACATCCGGGGTGTTACATAAGCCATAACTAAAATCAGTTTAATCATAGCAAGATGCTTCAGCTAGAAGCTCCCCTCCGCACCAACCATCTATAATTCAACCTGTCGGTCATTATCAGGGACTGCCATGTCGTAAGTAGCAATTCCCAACTAGACTGAAGTGAAGCAGAGCAAGATGGGGAAAATAAAATTGGGAGAAGAGAAGCGGTCCGGCTCACCATGGTAGCGCGATTGCGAGGGTGGTTTTAGTGGTAACTCTGCCCATAGCCACAGGCCCTCATGCGGAGGTAGTAGATGCAGTTGGTCGTCGAAGGGGAGCGGTGTCGAGAGGGACGTCGCGATGGGAAGCAGGTCGCAGGGGAGTGTTGACTAGCGACGGAGCGCCGGGATGGAGGATCGCATGGGGAGTGGTGAGGGCCTGAGGGGCGGCCTCCACATGCGACCGACGATACTAGACACACCACCGGAAGGAGGGCTAGGCGGGGAGAATCCGAGATGTTGTTGTCTCGTCTTCTTAAGCAGTACACAAACTCTAACAAAACTCAAAGAAATGTCTAAAAACAGAGCCCTCCCACCAGCAAGGGGATCCACCGTGCCGCCATGTTCCGAAGGCCACAGAAGACTAGACGAACCGGCGATGATGCGGGCATGAGGCAGAGAAACCTTAAAGGCCTCCTTTGGTTTAGAGGAATTTCATAGGAATTCTAGAGGATAGGATTTTTATAGGATTTTTTCCTTTAGAGCCCTTTGGTTCATAGGAATGGATTCCTATTCCTACATAGGATTGGTTCCTATCCTCCACATTTCATAGGAAAATATAAAAGAGCCTAGACTCAATGGAAAAATTCCTTTAGTGTCAACCAAATGACATCTTGTTTCCTATTCCTACTCATAGGATTTGAGATACATGTCATCTCATTTCCTACGAGATTCATATTCCTATGATAATCCTATCCTATGAACCAAATGAGGCCTAAGCTTTTTTACGGAGAAGGCGGGTGCGAGGCAGCATTCCTTGATTAGTGAACTACGAGGTGGGTTGTTGAGTGTAGCCCGTCAATACGAGGTCATAGAAAAATACGGGGTGTAGCTAGTGCAGCCACTTGTGCAGCGTTTTCGGACAGATTCGGTGGGATGGCCGCCTATCAGGTCGAGGATTCCCGCCGGCGCGGACATCCAGGCTAGATCGGCCCGGGGAAGCTCGTCGCATTTGGCAGCGGCCTCTTGGACTGGTGCATGCATGCATGCATCTTTGGCGCGTCAAGTCGTCGTCTAGCGCGGTAATAAGGATGGGAGCACGGTATGCAAAACATTTTGACTTCTATATTCAGAAGAAATGGATCATGCTAGACCTTTTTTTTCTAGTACATAATATAAAATGCGTCCGTGCAAACTTTGCAGCGCCACTTGGGCATTAACGATGCCACTCACCAATTTACTGTGGCCAGTGGGCCTTCTTTTTACTGTAGCCAGTTGGTCTGCACGCCGTTTCATGGTGGATCGGCAAATTGTTTTCCGGACCGAGTTGACGGGCCGGGGCTGGTCAAGTCGTCGACCCCTCGCCGTGGATGCACAGCCCGGGATTCTAGCTAGCCAGCTGCATCTTCTCAAAAAGAAAACGTAGCTAGTTGCAGCACGCAGCAGCAGCTTCCTCCTCCTCCTCCTCCTCCTCCTCCTCTTTGCATGCTATAAAAACTTGGCAAGAAGAAGATAGAAGGCACCACTACCACTTACCCAGATAAGAGTAAGGTAGCAAGGAAAACGTAGAGCCTAATACTTGCCAAGAAACCATGGCTGCCGATGACACAAATTCGGCCAGTCCCCACACCTACTCAGTCCCTTTAGCAGACAAGCTTATGTGGACATACATCAAAGCCCTCATCATCGTCGCTGTGCTCGCCCTGTTCCTTCTGCATGTGCTGGGATCCCTGCGCCGAAGGTCGAGCAACAAGGCCCTCCACGCTATCGTGTTGGGGGTCTACACGCTCTCCTACACCCTGGTGAGCTACACCATCGGTCTCATGCAGAGATCGGACATGTACGTGAGGGAGTTCTCCGTGTGGGCCGTGTGCCTGCTCATGCTCCTCGGCGGCACCGACAACCTCATGGCGTACGGCCTCAACGACGTCGACAACTGGAAGAGCTTCCACGTGAGGCACCTCATCCAGGGCGCGTTCGTGGTTTTCATAGTCGCCGTCTATGGGACGGCGTCCAGGGTGCAGGGGCCGCTCTGGGCCATCTTGGCGGTCAATGCCCTCCAGTCATGCGTGCGGATCAAGTCCATGAAGATGGCGAGCAAATCACACCTGCTCTCCAAGAGCGTGAAGCCGATCGTAGACCACATGCAGATGCAGCGTGAGGGCCGACTGCATGTGGCTTCTGGTCAACGGACAAACCCCGATACCATGGAGGGCTACCGGTATGTTGTCGCCGGCGAGCATCTCTGGAAGAACAATGCCGGACAACCTTCGAACCAATCAAAGGACGGCAATGTTGACGGCATCACCACAGTGGACCAGGTGTGGCAATGCAAGGGGAGCCTGTTGAGCTCCAAGACGGGGCTGCGACTCAGGGACGTGTGCCTCTCCATGGCCCTGTCAAAGATGCTCAACCGAAGGTTCGCGGGGTATGAGCTCGCGGAAGCTGAGCTTGAAGAAACCCGTGACTTTGTGTTCCGCGGCCTGCTCGCCTTCGGGGACGAGCCGTGCGAGCGGGCATTCAGGGTCATTGGGGTGGAGCTTGGTTTTGTCTATGACTTGTACTATACAAGATACCCGTACCTCTACCACAAGGCCCGCTACTTTGGACTCTGCCTTCCCGTCGCCATGGTCACCCTCTGCTCCTGGCTCACCTATCAGCTATTCAACAAGTTCAAGGGCGATGTCTCTTCTCCGGACACCACGGTGTTCTTGATGGCCGTGGTGACATTCTTGGAGGCATTCCAGTTGTACCTGCACATGGCCTCGGGGTGGTTCAAGGTGGCGTTGATCCGGAGCTACATCGCGGGGCAAAGCTGGTGTCTCCCTCGGATGATCATCGGGCTTCTTTTGAGGTTGAAGACGCTCCAGCCGTGGGAGGGCAAGCTGGGGCAGTACTCTCTCCTCCAACACTACGACGGCACACGTCGTGCCAGCACTTGTCTCTATTTCATGACATTGTGCCTGGTTGACAAGGCCAAGAAGGGGCGCAAGAGAGGGAAGCTTGTCAAGCTATCAAGACAAGTGAAGAAAGCAATCGTTGATTCGCTCCTGGAGAGCAAGGGCGACCTGACAAACGGGACAAGGTCGCTGCAGAAGGCCGGCGTCTACGGGCGGCTCTCGTGGGCGTGCAGCCCCGGCGACGGCATGGTGACCCACACCATACTGGTGTGGCACGTCGCCACAACCATTTGCAAGCAACTGGAGCCAGCGACCCTGGGCAACGATGACAAGCAGCGCTCCCAAGTGGCCTCCGATCTGTCCGGGTACTGCGCATACCTCGTTGCCTTCGCGCCGGACCTCCTGCCTGATCATAGCTTCGACGCCGAATCGATGCTCGACAAGTGCATCAAGGAAGCATGTAAGTTGGACCTGCCCAGAGGCGCCAAGAAGATGAAGAGCAAGTGTGAGGAACTGATGAAGATAAGCGGCACCAAAGAAGATAGCGGCGCGGAAACTCTCGTCCGCATGGGCGGTCGACTGGCGAGGGAGCTGACGGAGGAAATCCAGGAGCCGGCGCTGCGGTGGAAAGTGCTCGCTGATTTCTGGGCGGAGATGATGCTGTACGTGGCGCCGTGTGAGGACGCGCGCGCCCGTGCTCACCTGGAGGCTCTGGCGAGAGGAGGGGAGTTCATCACGCACCTCTGGGCGCTGCTCACTCACGCCGGCGTGCTCAAGAGATGCCCTGCTGCTGGGCAAGACGCCGTCTGATCGATCCACTCACTGCACACGCCATGCCTCTTCGCGACTATCCTGCATTACAATAAACGTCGCGAAGAAAGTTGCTGAGCGTTGTAGTTTCTCAAAGTGTTTGTCGTTGCTTCTACATGTATTATTATGCCATGCCTCTTTACGATTAAGCAGTTTCTCAAGGTGTTTGTTGTTGCTTCTACATTTATTATTATGCCATGCCTCTTTAGGATTAAGCCGCATCACAAATAAATGTCAATGATGATTGTTGCACGGCATTGCAGTTTGTCAAAGAGTGCTCTCATTCTTGCTTCAGGACATTTATATGCCATCAACTTGTTGCTCTCAGCAATCCTTTATTGATTTTCCAAGCTTACTTATGTTTAACGAGATACTACAGCAGTGCACAAGGGTTTCTAGGTAATCAATTCCAATCTCAGCCCAGAACAACTCCTAAACAGCGGCATCAACTCTCGAACAGACCCTCTAACACAAGGGCAAAAAAAGACACCTATATATATCGCGTGCTTACAGTACACTTCTCTTCTCATGACTATAACAACAAATCTATAATTTTCAACCAAGGGAAGCAAGAAATGGAGGAAATCAACCGGAGAATGCAGGACAAACAAAATCTCTATAACTGGTGTCCGCCGAGTGCAACAACTTCTGACAGCTGAAGAAGGCTCATGCTACCTGCTTCCCTTTCCTAGCTCTATCTAGTTCCGACTCGGCTTCTTGCAGCGCTGATTTCAGCGTGCCTACTCTCTCTTCTAGCTCCTCCACGCTGCCCCTTCTCAGCACCGGTTCGTACGGTGCCAGGAAGTGCTTGGAGAAGTTCTGTAGAGCTTGCACACCACATACCTGAAAAGTAAAGCGAGCCAATTGTCTTCAACTACTGTCAAGTAATACGAGTTCGAAAATGTTCAGTGCTGGATTTCTTGCCTCCTCTGGGAGCAAGGGCAACTTGATGATGTTGAAGTCATCATATAACATGTGGAACTGATCGACGTACTTCTGTTGCATCTTTACCCGCGCTCTTAGCAGTTTCGACTCGACGGCTGCAAGGTGATGGCACAAGTTTTAGATAGAGATGCACAAATGCACTAACAAGCGTTCAAAATAAACCATTGTGCAAAGTCATCGTTATGTCCTGTACTTAAAAGGCTTCTTGTTTAAACACTACAGAATCTCTATTCAGCCAAAGTTCACGAGGACGAGATTCTCTGCTTGCGTAATATGTGTTTATGATAATCAAAGGTGGATCTGGTATATTTTCATTTCCAAGGAAATCTCGAGACAGTATATTTTTTGTACTAACCTTCCTCGTCAAAAATAACTTGATTGATTATAATATTGTGTGCATCGATCTCGAATTTCGCTAACTCTTGTACCAATCTCTCCGTTTCATACAATGAAAGAAATTCAGGAATACAAACACAAACAAAGGTTGTCAAGTCCTGAGAAGAAAATCAAACAAAAAATAAGTCAGAACGTGGCAACATCTTTAACATTAGATGCTTTCAATGATGTAGAGACATAAAACAATGGTAAAATTATATGATAATCCAGCATGATTCAAAATTTTATGTTAATCCAGTAGAAGTCTCATATACTAATACACATAATGTGTTGCGTACACATGCTTTGCAAAGCACCAAAAGCTGCAGTTACAGATTACAATTGCTCTGTACACAACAGTAAACTATACAAACTGTTGATTCTGAGCATAGAATGAAACAGTTCTACCTACCCTCTAACAATAAATTTAAATTTGATAATCTCATATAGGAGCACTAATATATCAGTGTGAAGTCAACTAGACCATAATTCATCTGTGCTGGAGTTGACTATTACTCGTATTAGATTTGTGTGGTACAGGCCCATTCTTCATTGTGTTCTCGACATTTTTTTACATAGCGCATAACTGTGTAAGCATATTCTCCTAGTGGCAGTTGGGCATGTCCCTAATTTACTAGCCTATAAATGCCTTCCAATTTAAGACCAGAGTTAACAGGATAAACATCCTGGAGTGTTTATTTTTCAGAAGGGGTTTACAGTTTTTAAAATGTGCAGCCTGTGAGTGCATCCTCTAAAGCATACCTAATGCTCCAGGATCACACACCCAGTTGCAACAAGAGCAGTTCACAAAACAATAAATCTGGCATAAATTTCCAAAACAATATCAGCGCTAAAAAGCAAAAGCAACAAAATAATTAGCTATCCCTTTACGGTTCCAACTTGAGGAGGCAGCACAGAACAGCCATTGAAGTCAAATAATAAACATCTTATCTTGTTATTGGACAAAAGTTATTTGGTTCAAGTTTTGTAGTCTTACTGGATCTTTAAATTGCCTGTTCACTTGCTCGATCACGTCCTTCATGCCTTCAATTCTCCCAAGCATCATATCCTCGTTCAAATCATCACCAAGACCAAAAAGTCGACTGGCCTGTGACGGTCATAAATTGTTGTGTCCAACTCAGTTAGTCCAATTACAAGTTTCTACTGCATATGGAAGTACATATCAACAGCATATTACCATTAAACTTCAATACAAACAGTGGAACAATGCCATGGAGTCATCACAATATCTTTCTCAACATATCAAACAATTAAGAAGCCATCTTTTATTCAGGTTGCCATTAATTTCTCAGCATCTTAGTACTTCATGCTCTAATGAACCGAAACCAGACTTCCTCATATTACCATTAAACTTCAATACAAACAGTGGAACAATGCCATGGAGTCATCACAATATCTTTCTCAACATATCAAACAATTAAGAAGCCATCTTTTATTCAGGTTGCCATTAATTTCTCAGCATCTTAGTACTTCATGCTCTAATGAACCGAAACCAGACTTCCTCATATTACCATTAAACTTCAATACAAACAGTGGAACAATGCCATGGAGTCATCACAATATCTTTCTCAACATATCAAACAATTAAGAAGCCATCTTTTATTCAGGTTGCCATTAATTTCTCAGCATCTTAGTACTTCATGCTCTAATGAACCGAAACCAGACTTCCTCATACTACCATTAAACTTCAATACAAACAGTGGAACAATGCCATGGAGTCATCACAATATCTTTCTCAACATATCAAACAATTAAGAAGCCATCTTTTATTCAGGTTGCCATTAATTTCTCAGCATCTTAGTACTTCATGCTCTATTGAACCGAAACCAGACTTCCTCTGCTTTTTTTTTGTTAGTTATGCAATGTACTGCCATGGTGGAATGAACTGATAAATGATAGTATGCGACAACAATCATAGTATCCATGTTGAAATTTATCAAGAACAAAGAATACCTGATTAATCAGACCACCGAATCTATTCTTTAAGTCCATCATTTTCTCTAGACCCTTCTCCAGTGTTGCTGGAAACTGCAGCAACCGTAAAGTATGCCCTGTAGGAGCAGTATCAAAAACTACAACAGAGTAATCCATTGTTTGAACTAGTCTGCAGCAAGAGAACAGAAGTTAGACTCTGATAGTTGCTGGAACTTGAGGTGCAAGCTGAAAAAGAAACTTTGCTTGCAAAGGGAAGAAAGGTGAACACCAAACTGGAGGCTATAATTACTTCAGCATTTCAGCAAAACTCATAGCTTCATCGACTCCTGGAATTGCATTTGTCAATTCTGAAATAAATCCTTCCATTCCTTCATTGCCGAAATCATCATTTTCTACCTTGGGATCAATTTCCTGAAAATTAAGGATCAAAGTGAAGTAAATGAGCCAGAAGACCTTCTCCAGTAAGAGTGAAAGTTTTCATTTACAGAAAGAGTGGGACTAATGAAAGTGGCAACCCAAATGATAAAACAACAAAGGTACTCAAAGATGGAGGAAAATCACATAACCAGGTACCAAAACATAGTGGCAGAAATAGTCTGCACAAGAAATTATCACTGGAGTAGAGCACGTTTTATATCGTGTATCCAGTAAATAACTGGATACGTTGTTAAAAAAGGCTTGGAACAAAATGTTCTCAGAGAGAGGAAGTATATAACATGGACCATACAAGTTATGACCAACTAAACGAAAGCCCTCTTTGCAATGAATCAGACATCTTATTTTCTATTTCCCCTGGTGTAATAATATTTAAATTGAATGCTAGATAATTGGTACTACCTCTGTTCCTAAATATAAGACGTTTTTGCAGTTCAAATTGAATTGAACTGCAAAAACGTATTATAATTAGGAACAGAGGTAGTACTTCTTTTTCCTACAAGTCAGCCACCTTGCTTTCTACTGAAAACCGAGTCCTCCGCAGAACATATAAAAGGGAAATTTCCAAACAGCATTTTTTACTTTCCACTAGTCACAGACCTTATCGTCAGCTGCCACCTTCCAAGGAAGGTGTAAGATGAAATTGTCACCATATTATTGAAGCACACATAGCATATTGGTTCTTCCATAACTACACAACCACCCACATATCACAAGTAGTAACAAAAACCCAAACCAGACCAGAATTGGAAATTTCCAGTTTTAACAACCATCACGAGGGCCCTCTGGTAGGTAGGTACGTCTCTAGTGGGTATATCCCACATAGGAAATAAAATAGGGGTAACCTGGAGAAATATTTCTACTGGCACACTCTCTCT